TGGCTTACAAAACCCCGCCTCGTCTGAAACTTATCCTCACAAGAACCCTGTGAGGTAGGTCTCTGAGTGCCCAGAGTCACCCAGTGATCTTCATGGCTGGGCGGGAACTCGAACCGGCATCTCCCTGGGTCCCAGTGCAGCACTCTGGCTCGCACTGGTAATAATCAAAGCTCTGCTGGGTAACAGAAGAGTTTGTTTTGCTGCAGGTTACCCAATCCCTTGACTCTCTCTCTCTCTCTCGCTCTCTCTCGCTCTCTCTCGCTCTCTCTCGCTCTCTCTCGCTCTCTCTCTCTCTCACTCACTCACTCACTCACTCACTCACTCACCCCACCAGTATTTAGCCGTGCCGTAATTACTTTGCTCCAGTACGGAATCCCCAAGGAGCATACGGACCTTTGCAGCAGGCAGATTTCAATGCCACTGTGAACCCAATGTGCGCTTGTTTTAATTACATATGTGCCTGCTGAGGACACATGACGGAGCCTAGCGAAGCTAATTTGCTACCAGCGTGAGAGCGGGAAGACGTACTAAACATCACACCCCAGTCGTTTCTCCTGACTATCAAGTATTCTTGGCGAGGGGACCACATGCATCAGGCTGAGGGAAAGGGGAAGGAAGGGGTGCTGAAGCACGGGACCCCATCTGAGGTGTTACATTCTCTTCAGTGCGTCAAGTGGCAACAGCCCTTCCTTTTGGAGGTGAGCTCCTGGGAGATGGATGCCTGATGCGATGCAATTGTTTCACCCTCGGACTGACGCCCTGCAATTCAGAATGCAGAAGGCGGTGGCGGCAGCGCCTGTCCTGCTTTTAAACAGAACGCTGACCTTCAGGGCTGTCCCGAGCCCTGATCAGCCTTTGCACAAAGCTAAGCAAACGTTCTCGCTATGGGTAATTGCTCATCAGGACATACAGGCGAGCATTTCCCAACTCGGCATGTTCCAGAAGGTTGGGTTACAACTCCCAGCATTCCGGAACACTAGAAATGCTGGCTGTGGCTGATGGGAGTTGTAGCCCAGAACATCTGGGCACATGTGTGCCAGTTTGGAGCAGGGGGGAGTGTGCCTGAAGGAGAACGAAAGCTCTTCCTAGTGCAGGAATGCCGGCTGGGCTGGGCTCTTTCATAAGTGTCAAAGGGCCACATTCCAGTGGTGGCCAGTGGCCAACGGCAGAGAGCAGGGCCACAGTCCCCCCAAAACCAGCGTCCTGTAGCTTAAGGCTCTTACTGACAGCAAATATTTTTTCAAGCTTTTGGAAGGTGGGACAGGAAATGTGCAAACGTTGGGAAACCACTGGGGGAGGGGGCGTGACCCTCTAGAGAAGCTTGAAGGGCCACACGTGGCCCTCGGGAGGGCTAGATTTGGTCCCTGGGCTGAGATTTCCCCCACACGCTGTGACTGCTTTCTTGTTTGCTGCCGATGCCAGAGGAACTGGGCAGCTCCTTCCTCTGTCGTGGCATTTTGCCACGGAAGGCCTGCCCTCCGGCAAACTGGGTGGCCAAAATCAACAATCCCTCTTGTCTGTACCATAATTTTTACAAGCTGGTTGGTCGGCCACTGCATCTATTCCCTGCAGCTCTAACGACAGCTCTCCCAGAGCTCAGGGACAGGCCAGCAGAAGCCTGGAGGACTGATTGCTAACAGAGCTGTAAGCAGATGTTTGAGCAAGATGCTGCCTCGCGGGTGACTTAAGTGTAGCTTCCCTGCCTTCCTTTGGGGCTGGAGGAATGCATTATTAACCATGCCTTCTCAGTGGGGCATCTTTAAATAACAGTTACAATATTGTAGAGTTGATTAAGAACAGCAGTGGGCTGAGTCTCCGGCTCCTAAGCAAAGCTAGCTCACTCAGCTTCTATTGTCTTTTTCACATCTGGTTTGCCATCTAAAAACATAGCCAACTTGAATATAAGAGCCATCTCATTCCATTCCATTTGCTGCCTCCCATGGGGCCTTGTGGATTTTGCTTCAGGATGGAATTCAACCAGGCTAAGAGCTGGATTTAAGTCTTCACAATGGGGGATCAACCACGGGGTAATTGGGCATCCCAGAAACCAAAACGAAAGCCCTGGTAGAGTCCATGGTGTGTCCATGGTGGTTCCACCCTTGTGCTCTTCCAGCGGTGCCTTCATTCTCCTCCTCCATGAAACTACAGCCAACACATACTCAAAACTGCTGTGCCCCGTTCTGTTCTGCAGTGGGGAAAACAGATCTCTGGTCTGAGAAGGTAAATCAGAAAATCCACCAAGGATACCCAAGCATAAAGGGTCTCTTTGCATCTCAGCTATAGCCACAATCACACAGCCAAAACATTCCCCAAAGATATCCTCACTCTAGGGTGTGACTAACATGCCATCCTGGCTTTGGAAGAGCTGGCAATTCAAACTTGAGGCCCAGTCCACCTCACAGACCAGGGGTGGACAGTTCAGTCTATTTCTGCTCCAGTTCGGTCTCACACATATTCATAAATCCACTCAGTCCAATTTCCACTTCTGTTTGCGGTAACACCCGATCCCCCAGCAAGAGCAGTACCGCATGCTACTTTTCTTAACATTTGATTTTTTCGTATGCAGTTCCATCGTGCAAGCACATTCCTTAAACAAAACTCATGAGCTGAGAACCACCTTGCAAAGTTTGCAGAAGTGCGGCCCCAGTGCTGTTCCAGGGCAGTGCAAATTCGCTCCGTTCTCTTAAAAACGCGGCCAAGCACAACCCTCCCCCATTTCTAGTCTGCAACTACCTCCCGTGTTCCCTGCCAACACTGTGACTAAACACAGACTTTAGGACTCCGGTATCGGCCCAATCTTTTTCTTTCCCTGTACTCTGCCCTTGCCGTATCATGTAGCCCAGCGAAGAGTTCTGAAAGGCCCACGAGCTGGCGGTCTATTTTGTGGCCTTTGGCTAGGGATTGTACAACTCACATCATGGCCGGAAAAAGCAGCACCACACTTCAACCCAACCAGATGAGACAATCAGGCCAACTAATGCAGGTCCAGAAGGCTCCAAGTAAGAGCTGGCAAAAGACTCCCTGACTCATTTCCCACAGCTTTGCCGTGACTGAGGATGGAGGAATGTGTCTGTGCACTTTTAGAGCACAAATTCGCCATGTCCCATTTCTGCACCAGTTTTTGAATGGTTCTCTTTGTCGTCACGTCTTCATAAACATCCCTATGCATTCCTGTGCCCCTGAAAATTCATACCCACTGTTTGCGTTCTCATCACACGCAGTTGTTGCAAACACCTTCCTTCAATCAATGCTTTTGTGCCGAACTTTTGTATTGAACTTACCCTAATTTATGTAGTTCTGTATTCGTAGTATATTCTACATGTGTATGTAGTTCTAATATTTCTATATTATTTAAATTCAGTATTGCATCACAGAATTTGCAAAAGTGTGAACATGGGGATAAAACTTAGTTTCAGTTCCCATAATGCAGGCAAGTAGAACCATGTCCAGCATCCCCTGTGGTACAAATTTAGCTTCACTGTGGTCCAGAGTTTCCAGATGGCCAATGCCTCCTTTCCCGGCAACATCGCTCTCCTCTGACCACTAAACCTTTGTTCTTTTTCTTGCTTTTCTACACTTTGAGACCTCCTTAGCTACCAGCAGTGAAGGCTTTAAGTTAAAGTAATTAACTTAATAAAACAGCATCTCCAGAATGGAATTGGGCTGAAAGAGGTCCAATTCCCCTGGTGAAGGAATGGTCAAGGAAGCACTGGTCGGTCATTGTTGCATTAAAATGTGAACTTAACAAATTTCTTGCCCATTCCTAATCGGAAGCTGGCTTCTCTTGGTTTCTGCCTGATGCTTGGACCACTACACCTGACTGGATATTAGCCTGTTTCCCACAGGTCTGCTTCCCACATTCAGGTCTTCTTTGGACCAAAGCCCAGAGAAGAATGGTTCTTAACCATTCACAATACCCCTCAGTATTTGGTCCCCAGCTTCAGCTCAGCTAGTACTCACTGGGAAAATCGTTCCTACAGCTCTGTGGTCTAGTGAACCTGCTCCCAGCATCCCATACTTAATTTTCCAGATGCTACCAGGGGAGTCACCATGAAGATGTTAGGTCCTCAAGTCTCCCAAAACCAGCCTGCCATTCCATATATATTCCCCCAGCTAATGCAAATGTATATTCTCATCAGGGGCTTCAGGAGTGCAGAACCTTCATCCCGTGGTCCGAATTCAGCCCATGGGGTGCCCCAATCTGCTCTATGCTACTCCGTGGAATTCCCCTAGGGGGCGGGGCCTTTGCGCCAAGCCCCACCCACTGGAGGAAGACTTCCACGAAGCAATGCGGCATTCATTCCCAATCGGAGATTGGCCGTCACCGTGGATGCTCCTGTCTGGCTGAGCCCATTTTCAGGGCCAAAAGAGAAGCGGGCACTTTGACGATTACATATTTCTACTTACACGTACATGTCTGTGCTCATCCCGACTCATAAGGATATAACAAGTTTGTTTAGTCCTTCATCAGATAATCAGGTGGCTTGATTAAATGCATTTCGAGTGCCAGTGAAAGACATCCCTGATTAACCAGGAAACGTCTTTTTCATACACCCCCGCTCTCCTGCCCCATCTTAAAACACTCATTCGCTCCTGTGTGCAGGAGAATGTCTTCTAAGATGACGCCAGCAGACATCTAAGGATCATTCCTTTGGAATGTCCTTTCTGCACTTAAGAAATCCTGCTTTCCCAGCCCTCATATACAAATTTATGCAAAACTTGATCAATGAAAACTCGTACCCTTTATCAGCTCTGCTTTTCTAAAAACTGGGGGACTGAACTCCGATTACAGTGTCTGCTAATATGACCCCTTCCAAATGGCTGGGACTACAGCTCCCATAAGACCTCAGCATCCATGATGCTGCCTCCCGCTCCTGGGAGTTGTAGGCAAAAGCTTTGGAGGGTCCCAGGCTACCAGTTCTCCTCCTGTCCAAGCGGGACAAAGAGGCTTGCTGCCTCTCCTTGCACGGAGTCCATCCTCCGCCCCTTGGCCGGCTTACCTTCCAGGGGACAGAAGCGAGTCACTCGCTCCGGCATAAGCTTCTCCTGCTTGTGCCGGCAGTAGACCTCGGCGATCTCCCGGTGGCACTGCTTGGACTTGGCCCTGGACAGAGCCGACAACGCCTCCTTGCCGGAGATCTCGCATTTCGGCAGCTGCTCGTAGCTGAGCTCAGGGGAGCCGTTTCCGGCCTTCCTCGAGGGGTGCTGCTTGGGGGGCCGGTGGGCGTCCCTCAGGTGGAGGCTGCCGTTGCTGCTCTTCGGGGCAGGGTTGGAGTAGGGGAGCACCTCATTCGAGCTCTTCCCCAGGAGCGAGTTCTCCTTCACCTTCTCCTTCTGCTCCAGCTTCCTCCGCAAGCGCTCCTTCCGCTTGCTCACCGGCTTCCTCACCAGCTCGGGCTGCTGGCGCTCCTTCTGCTTCTGCGCCCTGGGAGCAAAGTTGCTGTTGTCGACATTTTCAAAGTCCTTGGGGACGGAGTTCTCGTTATTGCTGTCCGTTCGCATTTTCTCCTTTGGCCGGTGGGAGAAGTAGCCATCCTAGCAAAAGAGAAGGGGAAAGATTTATTTTATTTTATTATTTTATTAATTTATTCATTGAAAACTTTTGTGCCCTGCCCTATACATAAAAGTCTCAGGAAGACAGACACGCATTCAATATTTTTGTGGGTGCAAAGTGGGCGGAGGGGAAGCCGAGCCACCGGCAGCCCAAGGACCAAATTCCATTTTGTGAAAGCTCTTGGGAGCTGTGTTGCCCGTGGCCAAAAATGCCGGCTGAGTGTATCCTAAAAGTCTTGCTGCAGGTAACCCAGGCTGAGGGGAGACCTTTCGGTCCTTCGGAAGGTGGTGGTGGTGGGGGGGGAACGATGCAACATCTGGGGAAGCAAGGAAGGGAGCCAAGGGAACGTGGGTGAGGCCGTAGGAATGGGGTCCGGTTGCCTAAGGAACCCCAGAGGGCCGGGCCAGAGCCGAGTGGGCAATTCAGTCCCTGGCCCTGAGCACCTGCAAGGAGTGGTGGACAGGGCACCTGCGATCTGGAGGCAGAATGCGGCCATTGCGATGAGCAACTTTTGACAGCTTCCTTGTCTGTGCATTTGTCTAGTCTTCTTCAAGAGCCATCCCGGGCTATCCCACAGGACCAATTCCTCCATCATCATCACCATCATGCCATTCAATATGGTGACACCTCCAAGTGGTTCTCATACAACAATGATAAAAATCACATTTAAATAAGCAATTAAAAACCGTTTCAGCCGGAGCAACAGTAGAAGGCGCAGTAGATGAGGAGCTGCCATCCATTCCAAGTCAGGGAAAGCTTGGACTGAATGGTGGGCGAGTGAAGCAAACCACCCCGGATGTGTCCACCCTCCGGCGGCACAGGAGGAGCTCCGGTACCCACATGGAAAAACCCATGTGCCCCTCTTGGACTTCGATGTGAAAGAGGCAGAGGAGGAAGTGTATGATGGCCTTTAGCACCTGGAGCTCCCAGCCTCTGTCTCCCGGCGGCACAGGAATGAGCTCAGATGATGGCGGTGTTGAATTATATCAAGGGGTTTTCAGAATGAGGTTTCCCCTCCACACCTCCACACGCTCCTTTCCTGGGTGTCACTTTTCTCTAGGCAAAGAAGCGAAATTAATTTGTTACACCAGATGAGCACATCTGTCTATCAGGCCCAGTTCCCCGCTTCCCTGTTCTGGCCAATCTCTGGTCACGCAAAGGGAAAGTATACTAGCACAGCCGGGAAGGAAAAGTATTCGTCTGATTTTGCAGCAGGCAAACAGAAAATACGGGTTAAGCACAGCTCACATTTTGCAAGCAGAAGAACATTTCTGACTGCTCTGCCGAGCTGGTTGGAGAATCCTGTGGGTAAGGGAGTGTCAGACAAGTGCATTCTTTGTGAAGAGTCTGAGTAGAGAAAGCTCTCCCAGTTGCAGCTGGGCCTGACTTTGCTTTCCACTCATCTGCTCGTTGCTCCTCCGAAGCAGATTTTAGGACCCCGTTCCCAAGGGAGCTGAAAAATGTGGCTTTCACCATCTTCCAATATGGACCATGGCCTTCTGGTTAGACATCCTGACAAGACGGCGGCTTGGAGCCACATGCCTGGCTTGCATGCACTTTCCCTTTCTCATGAACATCGGCGCCTTCTTTCGCCTCCTCGTTTGTGGCTTGCCAAGATGACTGAGTTGGTGAAACTGTGGTTGCTGCTGAATCTTGGAATCCTACATTAAAACATGGTTTGATCTGCTTCTAATTTGGAGCAGGAGGCTCAGAATTTAGGGTCTAAGAGAATTTCATTTCTGCTGACAAAGCATCCCCCATTTAAAGCACCCAGAGCAAGTATGAACACGTGTTTGCCCAAAATACTGGTGAACGGTATGCTCACATGTACCTCAGTCCTGATTCCCATTTGGACTGATGCGAGTGATCTCAATAGAGGGAGCCGTCCTGCTTCAGCCTTTGGAGATTTTCAGAAATCTCGGTGGATTTGTGCAAATCTAGGGAGATGAGTGCAAATCTCCCATTTTATCACTGCTGGATCTGCACAGGTTTCCCATTTGCAGAGTCCCAAATGGGAATGGGAATCCGGCAAGAGACAAGCTGCGAGGTGACCTGAAACAGTGTTTGGTCTCCCATCCCTGGACAATTGAGGGTTAACACAAACCAGGAAGCAGAGGAGGACTCAGCATGTGTGAAGAGGAGGGTATCAGAAATGTGCAACCCCATAGGACGCTGGGAATTCCCACGAAATAGGAATCGGTTCAGTCTTCTACAGCTTGACACACTTCAGTGGAGTTGGACTCCAAGTGTCCCCAGTCCACATGCAAAGAGTTGTAACCCAGCACAGTTTGGAGGCACCACGTTGAAGGAGGTTCAACTAATACACAATTTCAGTTTCAGGTTGTGGAAGTGTGTATCTTAACAACCTGAGACCCCGCGAGGGAAGTGCAAATCAATGTTACGTTTTCATGCATTCATTTTTGAACCTTAAGACGCTCTGCTTAAAATCAGAAAAAACAAACAAAAAGATCTTAGCCTGGCCATAAAGTAAGGGTTGATCTCCTCATTTGGGTGTGAACCTTAAGCTGCACCTTTCCAGTTCAGATGCCATGGGACAGTATGGTTGAAGAAACCAGAAAATGTTCAGGGAAGACAGGTGCGAGCAGGAAGAGGACGAGGAAGGGGTAAGGGATGAGCTTTTCAGCAGCTGGAAAGACCATCACCACCATTAAGAACGTTGGAGAGGAGGCTGCCCAAGTTTGTAATCCTGCTTTCAAGCTATTCCTGCTAAGTAGTTTAGTTCTTTTCTTGGTGTGAAAAGAAAATGTGATCCAAGCAGAGCAAGACAAATGTAAAAAGATGTAAAGCATATTATCATACTACCCAGAACTTATTTTCTGGATTCATTAACACTATTAATTATGATTAGCATCATTGTTAATTAATTTTAATAATGATTATTACCTAATAATCAATTATTAACATTATTATTCATTAGCAATGATATTAACGCTATCATTGCATTTGAATGTATCGTTTTCCTGCTTTTGTTATCCTAAACTCATTGCCACAAATGCGGGGAGAATCCTTCTGCTACTGGAACTTGGGGGTTTCTTTCATTTTAATAATATTATTTGGATGTTCCTGCTTTTGAAGTGGGTAGGATCTGGGCTCTCCCTTGGGTCCACCACAAAGAAACTGGCCAGAGCGAAGTTGCTGCTGGAATCTTCTTCATGATGGCCCAATAATTAAAGAAAAGTCTTTTCTGTGGAGGCATTCATTTGTTCAGAACAATGGAAAGGGCCAACTGAGCATCAGGGTACATCTCACCCACGTTCATAATTAATGCTTCTTTTAGATTACATCTTAGGCTTGGTAACATATCAAGAAGGGTAACATATCTTGAGAAATGCACCGGAGACCAGGTCTCATTCTCATCAGCTCCACTCACACCTGCTCATCTCTTTCTATCAGCTGCCTTTCCTAAATTGCTTCAGTGACTCTGAAAACAGATGTTCTGAGTACAGTTCACTGGGCTAAGCGCTCCATTTAAAAACCATGAACTCACAATGGGAGACAAGGTGAACTTTTGAAAAATAATAACACCCCGCCCCCCGAAACAAACTTGGCAACCAGCTACTCCTACTCCAAACATCTGTTTGCTTTACACAGAGGTGCACTTCCTCTTTGTGGAAGACCACTGTGCCCTTGGCCAGCCTGGCCGCAGCGGCTCCCAGGCCCAAGTCCCTGTAGGCCCTGGCTCCCGGGGGCAGCCTTATTCTGACGCAAACAGAGGCGGCTGCCTCAGGCGGCAGATGCTGGGAGGTGGCGTGGAGCAGAGAGCGATGAGCTCTGTATTCCCCAAGGCTGCCCGCTGCACTTCAGGTTGGTGTCGCACTGTCTCCATTGATAGCGGTCCATAAACTGCGACGTTTGCAAAATGCAGTGGCCGGGCTGATACGAGGGTCAAGAAAAGCCAGAACACAGAGCACCAGGTCTGGCCCACTTGCACTGGCTGCCTATAGGATGCCCACTTGCTCTTGTGCAGATCAAGACCATAATACCTGATGGAACATCTCCCATCGGGGGTCTATCGCATGAAATGAAGTCATCCTCTTGGACCCTGTTCCAGGGGGCTCCTCTAAGGGGCACCTGGAAGGCAGCAACCAAGGAGACGGCCTTCTCCGTGTTGGCCCCCTGATTATGGAATGAACACTCCAGTGAAGCCCACATGATGCCAGCGCTAAGCCCTTCCTATACTCTCAGGCATTTGACAAACTAGGATAGGTTTTTAATTAGGCCTCGGAATACTATTTGAATGCTGTCTGTATGTGTGCAGCTAGACTCGGTTTTTTTATTCATAAGGTCTTTGAACTTTGCAAACTACTCTGAGAATAATAGTTATTACAGAAATGTAATAAATGACATTAAATGGATGGAATAATGGCAGGTCCAGTTGCTCTCTGGGGGGTTTTATGTATGGAATGGGAAGGTTTGCAATCTGGTTCCTCATTTCATGCAGCAAATGTCTGGGGACAGCCCCGGTTTGGATGTGTTCCCAAACCTGGAATTTCCAACACGGTGTTCCAACATGTGCCCAGAAGCCACCCCACAAGGCTCCCAGACCCTCCTGGTATTCGATTCCTTAATAATATTTTTATTTTGGTTTGGTTTGGAGAGAGTGGCATGCGTGTTGCAAGGCGAAGTGACTTTTCTGTACGATTCACTAGTTTGCTTTCTAGGAAATGGATGCTTTGAGACTGGCTACTTGCCCATGGCCACCCTCTTATGAAGGAGCAAGGCCCTCATGGCATCCATTTTGTGAGAGTGCCCACAACGCTCTCTCAAAATTCCAGTGTGTCCATTGACCCAGAAAGTTGGAGAGCTTGCCTTAAGCTAGGCCATATAAATCCAAAGCAAGCTTTATCAGGCAAAGGGGAGTTTACGGCCAAGCAAATGAAACATTTTCCAGTGCATTGATTGCATACAAAAAGCAAAGTCCTGAGACCAAAATCTTAGCCTTATAGGATTGCCTGAGTCC